CATCTTCAATTCCATTATTCTAAGTTCCTCAAGTAGCATTTTGATCATGTTGCTTGGCATGCAGCATATGATGCAGCCACATATTTTGCTTCGCATGAAGACAAAGCCATAATCCTTTGCTTCCTCAAACTCCAGAAGATTTGAGCTCCTTCGATCATGAAAATGTAGCCAGCAGTACTCTTCTTTTCGTCTTGATCTCCATTGAAATCTGAGTCAGTATATCCTTGCACTTCGACATTTGTTTGTTCTTCGACTTCTTTGATAACAGCACACCATGATCAATGGTTCCCTTGATGTATCTCAGCGCCCTCTTTACTGCAATGAGATGACATTCCTGAGACTTCTCCATAAATCTGCTCAACAATCCTACACTTTGGCAGATATTTGGTCTAGTATTGCAAAGATACCTCAAGGATCTAATGATTTGTTTGTAAAGGGTCGAACTTACAAACTCATCATTCGATTATTTTTTCAGCTTTGCTCCAGTCTCTAATGGAGTAACATCTGCCTTACAGTTGTTCATATTGAACCTCTTCAAGATATCTTGAGCATACTTCGTTTGATGCAAGAACACTCCTTCTTCGACGTCTTTGAATTCCATTCCCAGGAAATAGGAGAGATTCCCTAAATCATACATTTTGAATTCCTGCATTAACTTTGACTTTACCTTCATTATCTCAGCTTCGTTTGCTCTTGTAATGAGTAAGTCATCAACATAAAGGCATAAAATGATTCGATTGACACTTTTGACATCATTTACATGCACTCCATGTTCAGAGACACACTTTGCGAAACCTGCTTCAATTAGGAAGCTATATATTCTTTTATTCCAAGCTCTAGGAGCTTGCTTCAAGCCATAGAGATTCTTCCTTAAAATGTACACTTTCGACTCCTACCCTTTAACGTCGAAACCTGGTGGTTGAGTTATGTAGACTTTTTCTTCCAATGGACCATTCAAAAATACTGACTTCACATCAAGTTGGTGCATTTTTCATCTTCTACTTGCAGCTATTTTCCATCCTCTACTTGCAGCTATCGAAACAATAATCCTGATTGTTTTGATCCTTGCAACAGGCGCATATACTCCATTGAAGTCAATACCTGGTTGTTGTAGAAAACCTCTGGCCACCAGTCTTGCCTTGTACTTTGCAATCTCACAATTTGGCCTTCGTTTCACCTTGTAGATCCATTTCACATCAATTGGTTTCTTGTTGGTTCTTTCGACAAGCTCCACAGTTTTGTTCTTCTTAATGGCTCTAAGTTATTCTTTCATGGCTTCACACCAATTCGAATTGCTCAAGGCTTCAGCCAAGTCAATTGGTTCTGCTTCAGCCATCATCATGGCTTCTTCTATTAAGTCACCATCAACATTGATTGCTTGATCTGGAAACCTCTCCTATCCAGTCAGCCTAGTCGACTCAGTTCTTGTTCTTGCGGATCTTCTTTCATTCTACATAGGTGGTTTTTCATTTCGACCAGTCGAAGTATCACCTTGCTCATTTTGACTTGTCGAAGCTTCGTTATGTTCATCTTCTTCGAACACAGTTGTGACTGTGTCTGATTCTTGTCGAACTGAACTTCGACTCCAATCCCATCCTTTGCTTTCGTCTACAAGAACATATATACTGATCACTGGTTTATCTTCGATTGGTGAATACAGCTTGTATGCACCATTCAAATGATAACCTATGAGCACCATGACTCCACTTCGATCATCCAGCTTCTTTCTCAATTGTTCAGGTACATGCCTGAAACACATTAATCCAAAAATTCTAAGATGACTTACATTTGGCTTCGACCTTGTCCAAGTCTCATGCGGTGTCTTTTCGACCATCTTCTTCGTTGGGCATCTATTTAGAATGTATACTATTGTCGAAGCTGCTTCAGCCCAAAATCTCTTAGGCATATTCTTAGCTTTCAACATACATCTTGTCATGTTGAGTACACTTCTATTCTTTCTCTCAGCCATGCCATTATGTTGAGGCGTATAGGATGCAACAATCTCATGCTCTATACCTTCCTCATTGCAAAATCTGGAAAACTCAGCATAAGCATATTCACCACCACCATCAGTTATTAACTTCTTCAATTTGCATCCACTTTGTTTCTCAGCATGCAACTTGAACTTCTTGAACTGTGTGAATACCTCACTCTTCCTTTCAATAAGGTAAATCCATATATGTCTGGTTAATTTATCAATGAAAGTAAGAAAATACCTGTTACCTCCATTGGACTTTACTTCGAAGGATCCACACACATCTAAACGAACCAGCTCCAGTTTTTTCCTTGATCTTATAGGCAAGTCACGTTTGAATGCCTTCCTTGCCTATTTAACTTTGCAGCATTCCTCACATCTGCTTTGGTTCCTTTACATACGGCAACTCAAGCACCATTTTTTTTCTGATTGAGCATACATAAGCTCATAAAGTTTAGATGTTCATATATGTGATGCCATAGCCAGTTCTTGTCTTCTTCTGCAGTCGAAGCAAGACATTTGTGATCTGCTGTGTTGAGTTCAAACTTGAACGTTTTGTTCTCCGCCAATGGTGCTTTCATAATTAGCCTCCCATCAGCCCTATATACCTTCATCTGATTATTCTCCAACTTCATATTGAAGCCTTTTGCAAGTAATTGACCTACACTTATCAAGTTACTTGTCATCGAAGGTACATACAGAACTTTAGTGATAGTAGCCTTTCGACCATCCTTTCTGATAATCGAAATATCTCCTTTACCACCTGATTTGATATGCTTGCCATCTACAAACTTTATCACCTTTTCGACTAACTCATCTAACTTGGTAAACCAGTTTTTATTGTCGGTCATGTGGTTGCTACATCCTGAATCCAGATACTACATGTTGTTTTTCTCAGTGTTTGATTGAGTGTTCACCGGCAACAACACATCATCAGAATCATTACTTCCAGCTCGTGCATATTGAGCTTCATCACTATCTTTCGACTTTGCAGCTTTCTTTCTTCGACAGTCTCTAGCATAGTGGCCAAAACCTTGACAGTTATAACATTGCACCTCTTTTGTGTCAACTTTCTTCCCATAATACTTGTTTCCCACTCCTTTTGAATCAATATTCTTGCTTGACTTCTCATCACCAGCAAGATTCTTCCGCTGCTTCGATTTCTATTTTCCAGCTTTCTTGCTGAATCTTGATTGCAATGCTTGTTCACCTGCTTTCTCCCTTTCTGAGTTTCTTTGCTGCAGCCTCATTTCATGAGCCTCCAAAGAAGCTTGAAGTTCTTTCAACTTCATCTCAGATAGATTCTTGGCCTCTTCGATTGTTACAACAAAGTAATCAAAGTCTATAATTAAAGATCTCAATGCCTTTTTTATCTTTTGCAGATCCATAAGCGCTTCACCACACGCCTTCATCTGGTTTGTTAGCGCCACAACTCTTAAGAAATATGCAGAAATAGATTCATCATCTTTCATCTGCAGCATCTCATACTGTTTTCTCAGAGTCTGCAACTTCACTTTCTTCAATTTCTCATCTCCACCATACAAGGACTTCAGCTTTTCTCAAGCTCCTTTTGTTGTTTCTTCTTCGATTATCTTCTCAAACACATCACAATCCACACACTGGTGAATCAGGAACAGCGCCTTGCCATCTTTTTTCCTCTGATCTCTGTGCGCATCTTTCTGGGCTTCCGTTGCATCTACCTCCAGTTCTGATATTCCATCATTCAAGATTTCTACAACATCTTGAAATCTAAAAATAACCTTCATTTGTGTCACCCATCGTTGATAGTTTTCACCTTTGAAAACTGGTAGATTTGTTGAAAATTGTGTTGATGTTGTTGATCTGTTTGCCATTAGATTCACTATGAATCGCAAACAAGCTCTTGATACCAACTTGTTGGACTTGGAACAAAGGGTTCAAGAAAGATGAATATTGTGAAAAATAAGAAGAAGAAGAAGAAGAAGAAGAAGAAGAAGAAGAAGAAGAAGAAGAAGAAGAAGAAGAAGAAGAAGAAGAAGAAGAAGAAAAAGAAGAGAGAGAGTTGAGTTAGTTAAGTGTAACTAACTTTAAAACTGAATTTTGTTATTGTTGTTGCTACTTGTTATCATTACAAATACAATGGTCATTTATATAGGCAAAGTGTCCAGACTCAAATATGTTAAAAGTCTAACTAACTACATAACAAGAATTAACCAACTAACAATCATGTTTGAAAAAATATTGTTTATTTTGCTAAAATAAGTATGTTGTGTCTGGATTATGAAGTTCAAATTATGTTACATTGTGAAATTTTGTCTGTTTTGATGTTGAATTTGAACAATGCACTCTAATGTTGTCCTCGAGTCTACTGTATATAAAGATGTTAAATCGGGTGGTGTACATGTATGTGTTAGAAAAGAATTTACAAATAAACAATAATATGTCATACGTGAATATATGTTTCAATAGATCTGCACAAAGACTATTAAATTATGATTCAGCATTGTAATCTGGAGACCAATTTTGATTCTGAAATACATTTATGATGATGAAATGCGAAAAAAAGTGACAAATATAAAAAGTCTATCTAAAAGTTAAAATACAATTACACCTGAACGAGGAATTATAAGTGTCATTTTATAGTAAATGGGTGGAATAACTCAACTTTGTTTGTATTAATTGAATTAAGTTAAAATAAATTATTGATTTGTGGTATAATCTTTGAAGCAACATTTATTTATATATGTTAATATTTATAAATTAATAATTTAAAAAATAAATAATTTACATTATATTTATACGTTATCAAATATTCTATATTAATTTTTAAAAATTCAAATAACAGGTCTTCTATTATTTGAAATTTAAAATAGTAAACATTCTTTTTTTTTTTTCTAAAACCAATCATGCATTCAAAGGATGTCGAGAGACTTTTTCACTTATTAACAGAAAAGAAAAGAAAAGAAAAAAGCAAGAAACAAAACTAACATAAACTTCACTCTTTGCAAGAGAAATAAATACTAGTTGCAAGAGATAACAATTGCGTTCATGGAGGCGATGGATCAGCATCAGGAACAGGATCCTGTGGGATATCTGGAAAATCAGAAACCACCGGTGGCGCCATGAAAACATCAACATCTGGTGTTGGCGTGGCAGAAACTGGTGGTTCCTGCGGAATTTCCGGCGTTGGATCTGGCATGGTGGAAATTGGTGGTTCTTGTGGAATCTCTGGAGAAGGAAGAGAAATATCTGGTATTGGCGTAGCTAAAACCGGTGGTTCCTGTGGATTAATATCTGGTGTTGGGTTTGGCATGGTGAGAGATGGTGGTGATTCTTGTGGAAGTTCTGGAATCATGGGAGGAGGAAGCAAAGTAGCTGGTGGTGAAGATGAAGATGAAGATGAAGATGGATCTTGTGGTGTCGTAACTATAGGGACAAGTGGTGGTGGAATAGTAAGGTCCGGTGGATTTGTGGTGGAGAAAGAAGGAGGTAATTCTGATAAGGGAGGAGGGATAACAAGTGGTGGGAGCTCTGGAAGTGGAGGTGGCGGAGACGGGACTAATGGTGGTGGAGGTGGTGAAGGAGGAAGTGGATTAATTATTGGTAGAAATGGACAACATGGAGGAATAGGTGGAATAGGTGGAATAGGTGGTAAAGGACAACAAGGTGGTGGTGGAGGTGACGGACACGGAGGTGGCGGAGGTGGTGGACAAGGTGGAGGTGGTGAAGGAGGTAGTGGACAACAAGGTGGAGGTGGTTGATCAAATGGGTTATCAGGGGAAGGGAAAGTAGGGAAAGGCCAATAGCCACAACAATCAAATAGAAAAAGGTAGAATGGGTCACAATTTGGTATCCATTTTCTTCCAAAGTTTCTTCTTGTTCTATAAAATGTTAACTCTTGTTCATTTTGGTGTTGAGAGTGATTTGAGGTTTTGGATTCAACAAGAGTTTGTTGTGTGAAGAAAACAAGAGTTAGAAGTAAAGGTGTGATCATTAAACTTGCTTTCATTTTTGTGATAGAGGTTTGATTTTGTTTTTTTGGCATTCTAGTAGAGCTATATAAGAAACACAAACTAGTACTAGCATAGTGTAATTTCATTTATTTTTTTTCAATTATGTGAGTTTGTTTTTAGACAAGAAGTAAATATGAAATATGAATAGATTGCACTATAATTTTAGTCAGATTTAATTCACCATAGTCAATTTTTTTACGCAATCACGTAGTTAAATTATCAGTAGTCATTTGATCTTGATCAAACGGCTCAAAAAAACAGATTTAATTTTATCATTTAATTCCAAAAATACTGATCTTTAATCACAACGGTCAAATTTTGATTAGAAACCATAACAACAACAAATTTCTGACCGTAGTGAATCTCAATCTAATTTTAGATATTGTATTTTCAGTTTGAATTTAAAAGGTGGACCAATAGAAGTTAAACTCAAAGATGAAATAATAGACTTTTTTTTTTATATACTCCCTCGGTTTAATATTAAGTTTAATATTAAGTGCATGCATTTTAAGAAAATCCTTTATTGTACACTAATTTGAATAATACAAGGATTTTTATTTTTTAAGTAATTTTATTAGATAAGTTAATAGTTCATATGATAGTTTTACAAAGACATGAGTATATAGTGCTAGTTCAAATCCGAGACATATGTTGTCATGCATGCACTCTCTAGTTGACATATACTCCTTCTGAAATAATTTATAAGTAAATTTTATTTTTTAGATTAATTAAATAATTAATGTATTTAGTATATATATAAATCAGATATATTAATTTCTCAGGAGTACAAACTAAAAAATTGTTTTTTTTCTTCTTTTGATTTACATTTCTGTATCTTATACATGCATGAGATTAATTCTGTTGTAAAGAATTAATGGAAAGCCTAGTTGTACGTGCCAATTTAACTAGAAAAAAATTTTGATTTGGTCATTCTTCACTAAATATTTCTTCAATGCTCTTGTAACTTCTAACCATTCTAATCCTTGCGTGTCAAATTCTCGTTTCATTTATTTGCATGCATAGAATCATTAATAAATGATTGTGTAATGTGCCATTTATTGGTTTAAGATAAGAATTTTGGTAATTTTTGTTATCTTTCACAGTTTATCTATTTCACCCCCTCTTCTTTTTATCTCATAGTTTCTTTACTATAGTTAGAGAGAATCACTAATACAGACCAGAGTCCACAGAAAAAAGGTAGTAATGGTAAATTACTAGTAGGTGATTAATGCAACACCTACTCACATTATAATGAAACCTAGGTTACTTGAATACGAGACAAATAGTGAATAATAACAGACTGAATTTTTAAGTAAAATAAGAGAGAATCTGTAGGTAATGAAGAATATCAGACTTAATTTAGAGAGAATCCGTAGGTAATGAAGAATATCAGACTTAATTTTTACATGAAACGCAGTCTAATATTTTTTACTATCTTGTTTTTTAAACTTTAGTAACCTAGATATGGATCATCTTCAATGACATGAAGAAAGTAGAGTCTAGATAGACCCTTGAATATAAAAAGGTATGTAATAGTTTTTATATGAAAAATGGGAGAGAAAAGAAAGGGTAAATTTATTATTAAAAATATTGGATTAACAAGCTGCAATATGTTGTTGTTGCCTGGTACTCTATGAAGAGCGAAACTAACAGGATTTTTTCCCAACTTTATTTTCCAATTCCAACTATGATACATGAAATATTATGGTGGAAAAGACAACAAAAAATCCCATATTAATAGACAATGTATAGGAAATTGAACAGTTACAATAAATTAAACCTAGATATGGTAAAAATAATATAATGGACTGACAACAATATTATAATTCTCAGTCATAAAGAAAAAATGGAGACACATTGCTTCAGCCATTGATATATGGAACATTGCTGTAGAAGCTAAATCTGGAAAACCAGTGACTTAAGCCACTTCACCAGTTTCAGTTGAAAACAAACGGCCAGAAATGCTGACTAGTGGACACTCAGACTGGATAAAAACAGCTGGGTGTTCTTTTTTCTCCTTTTTTTCAATTAGTTTATGCTGGGGTTTATTTAATTGGCTACATCACCCGATTTACCTGTCCGGGCTTTATAAGTATGTTCTGGATTATCACGTAGACCTAGCTTAGAGATAACAAAACAATAGGAATCCCAGTCGGTTCTTCTGAGGTATTTCAGCAACTTTTTCCTCTTCTGTACCATTGCTATCAGACCTTTCCGAGAATGCACATCCTAGGGCATCAATCACAGAATGAAATTAATCAGAAGGGATAAAATAGTAATACTACGCCATAGTTCAAGTGACCGGTGATAAGGGCTATTCATTGGACACTAGGATAAACATGTCAAAACTCAAATAGCATAAACCGCATTTAGGTAACTAAAACAGAGAACATGATATATATAAACGTGAACACTACACTATGCAGATACCAAATCAATTTCAAAATTCTATCAAAGACCGTATTTTCGATTTTGCTAACAGAAGAGAAGAAGTCATAGCAACAGTCAACATATTTGCTCTGCACTAGGGATCAAATAAATTCACAAATTACATTGTCCACCATCATGTAAAACAAGTGATGTAGTACAGCTTACAGCAGCAAAATTAAAAGGCTGTTTCTACAATTAAGTGTATGTTTGGTTTCTCTTCTAGAACACCTAGAATCAATTCTAGAGATGTAGATTTGATTCTGGGTGATTGAGATGTTTAGTTAGTTAAAAGTAGAATTGATTCTCTCCCCAGAATTGATTCTATTTTGAAGCTAGAATTTGTAGCTTCTACCTCCATAATTGATTATGAGTAATTTTTACACTGAAATTTTTTATTCAACTCACTTTTACATAAAGGTATCCAAACATAAATCAATTCTGCTAAACTCAATTATGTTAAAATCAATTCTACCAAACTCAATTTTGCTCGAATCAATTTATCCACCGTCAATCCAAACAAGTTATATTTAGGTAATGTATTCTACCATCAATAAAAGACTGTTTCTACAATTTATATTTAGGTACTAGTTTCTAACAGAAAGTTACTCAAGAGTTGGTTGATTATAACTATAAAAACCACTCCTACCATATAGAAGCATGTCCAAATATCGTCAGCCAATAGAAAACTGAAGTAAAAAACTATGAAAAGTGGTCAAATAACGGCACTTACAAACCAGATTTAAAAGAAGCATGTGACAGAATAAAACAGTTGATCATAAAGAAAGAAGAGTAACAGACACCACCAATGTTTGTACATCAATTAGTTGAACAGACAAATCTTCAATTAAAAAGTATTCTAGCCATTGATCTATACAAATATCAAACACACTAATATATTTCAGAAAAATAACAGAGAAGCAACTCACCTTTTTGTGTAGAACTGATGATAGATGCTTAATCTTGGTTGTGAGAGTGGCAACTTCATAACATTGGTGGGTCAGTATTAGTTCAATAACAAGTTAGAATCACACTCGATCAGATCATGAAAGAAAATAAGTAAAGTAAAGCAAATCGAATCAGTTCCATCCAAATGTTTTACCATCAAACACTACACAAATCAGTTAATGAAGAGTAGTTTCCTTTACCTTGAACACGAGCAGAGCCACAATCTGACTCGGACATCTTAAATTCATCTCTAACCTTTGTGAGTTCAATTTTCAACTTTTCGGCAGAGGACATGTTATCTGGATGAAAATACTGGATAAAACATAAATTGGCAATGTTAGGGCAACAAATTAGTTAAAACCATTAACAAAATAGTTGTTTAAGTATAGACAGACATCTGAAATAAAACAACTCAGACATCAAGAGTCTCATTCAACAATATCAAACAAACTACAAGTACAGAATAGATCAGCGCAATCAACAAACAGCAAGGGATTAGTGATTCACTTGATGAAGGACATCATCATGCTATCATAGCTTAAAATTAAAAAGATGAAAGCTTCAATTTATTAATGTTATAAACTACAGGAATTGACAAATGAAAAATGTAGCTATCAGATGAAGGTTCACACATCAACAATCAACATTTCATGAAGGAGAAGACAACAAAGCAAAATTATAAGTAAGATATACCAAATGAAACCATGCTTGCCTTTTCAACAAGATGCTCTTTAGGAGGCTTTGTCATGAAGGATGGAGTCCCGCCCATCACGGACAAAAAATTAACTCTCTGCACTGAAAAAATCTTACCATTAGTTTTTTTTCATATAAAATCACATCATAATAGTGTTAACACGTGAGCTTAATAAAACTAGACTACCATTTACATTCAATCCTAAGCCCATATAAAAGGAGAGGGTTGTGTAAGACAATCGACAGCCAATGTAAAACTTTGTCGAATTTCTATGACATGGATCAACATGATCGGGATAGAACATTATGGTGAAAGTTGATCCATGTAGCTGACCCCACTTAGTGTATTAAGGCTTGGTTGTTGTTGTTGCAGTGTTATAGTCGCTACTTGACAACACTCTACTAATCTATGTATTGCAAAACAAAGACAAATGCGGTTTATTCAAATTCTATTGTACTATAGTGTCACTATTTGAGAATTACTAGATATAATAATCCAAATGGTTTCCCCTTCACGGCAAGATGAAAGGACAAGCTTCTCTAATGTGTCATCACCATCATCATATCATAACTAAAAGGAACAATTGAAACATATCAAATAAGCAATAACATCAACAAAATGTTACTAACGTGAAGCAATCTTTGGCTTCTCGGCGTCTTTAGCTCTAATATGGTTAACAGAATCTTTCAAAATGTTATATACTCCTTTTTCACTGGAACTGGAATTCGCTTTAATTTCATCCATCTCCTTCATCACTTTCTTCAACCTCTCATTCAATTCAGCAATTGAAAACCATTCTTTTCCTTTCACTGGAGGTCTCAATTTCTTCAATTTCTCACCCAGCTCATCAGGCCTCATCAGCCTAACAGACCCGAAATTCTTCAAACTCACCGAAGCATCATTACCCTTCGCTAATCGTTCCCTTATCTCCTTTCCAAAAATTAAATCCGGCATTGTACTAGTCCCACCGAACGAGGAACTCGGAGAAGGCCTCCAACTCGGGGACGGCGTTGGATTCGTACCTTTGAGCTGCATTAAGCTTCCGCGAATAACTTCGATAGGCATAGCGCCGCCGCGGCGTTCCGAACCAGAATTTTCTCCGGAATCACCGGAACGGTTCCTGATGTTGATGTACATTTCCTGAAACGAGATTTGCTTCTTCTGCGTAGATGGATCTTCGGTCGGGCTTCGGAAACTCTGGATTTTGCTCATGATGGATTCGCTCTGTTGCGAATTGAGGGAAGAGAGAGGGGAAGGATTGTTCGAGGATGGTTGTCGTTTGAGCGTGCTTCTAAGATCGCGTAAAGCGGCGAAGGCGTCGGAAGAAGGTCGGTTTCCATGGTTGCCACCATCGCCACCGTCGCCTCCGGCATTGGAGGTGGAGAAGAGGTGGTGGAGTGAAGGAGAGTTGGTGAGAGTGTGGGTTTTGAGTCTTGTTGTTTTGAGACGGAGAAGGAGCGCCATGGCTACGGAAGAAGAAGGGAATGGAAAGGGGTTTATCGGAGATTAGGGTTTTTATTTTACAGTTCATTCATCTCAAAGTGGCTTGGATGCTATTGAAGTTTTGAAGAAAAGAAAAAAATATTAAACATTAAAATTTTAAAATTTTGTCTAAAATAAAATAAATTTTTGGAAATTTATCTTCTTTTTCAATTTTAGGTTTGTTCACAAATTTTCTTTCTCCTTCCTTGAGCTCGGTTGTAAATTGTGTAGAAACATCAGATATAATTACGCGTATTTAAATCTATAACATTAAAACAAGTGAAAATTAAGAGAATATTAAACTCTTCAGAATTGAATTTTCATAGTCAGCTAAATAAATATTAACTAAAAGAAATGGATAAATAGCAAACTCTTTTAGTTCTTGATCAAGCGAAACTTTTAATTTAGTAAGTCAATCAACACTAGCATTTCATTCGCGTAAAGTGTGAACGAGGATAAACTGTCGCTCTTTATGAATAAAAGATTGGATATAATCCAATAGAGACGCATAAGGATGAGTAGAAGACGTGTCATTTTAATTAAAATTCATAACTGTTTGAGAGTCAGACTCGCAAATCATATTTTTGAAATCATGATTTCAAGCAATATGAAGACCATGAGAAATGGCTTGAAACTCGACATTAATATTAGAGTGAAACCACGACTTCCTGCAAAACCTGTGATCCAATCTCCATAAGATTTTCTCAGAAGACCGCCAAAGTCAGATGGCCCTGGATTATCAGTAGAACTACCATTTATATTGATATTTATCACATTCTTTATAGGAGAGTGCCAAGACACAAGTCTACGGGATGATATCTTATTAGAACCACTAAAAGCCTGCTTGGTAGAGTGTGAAATAGTTATTTGGCTAAGAATATTCTAGAGAGAGCAAATGTTGTCTTTGAAGAATTTTCTGTTACGAGATTTCAAGACCATCCAACAACAAATGAGAAACAAAGGGTCGTGATTGGCGATCGCACTAATTTTCACCCAATTACATATATCATCCTCATAAAAATGAATGTGAGATGGAAAACTGAAATTGTTCTAAACTTGTAAGGCCTTAGGGCAATCTCTAAGAGTGTGTGAGATGATTCATTAGATGCACCATATCTGTAACAAGATGCATTTGTTGTCATGTGATGAGTGGTCCGTGTATAGTTGGTAGGTAATTTCTCATGCCTAATGATAAAACCGTTTGGGAGCCATTTATCATACCAACTTGAAATGTCCCATTTTCATACTCTAGTGATAATACCCAGACTGAGAGCCTTAGCTGTTATAGCAGTTGAACGTTATGTGTACGATGCAACATGTTAATTATGAAAGTTAAGAAAAACACAAGAAATGAGGGGTTTGAATTGGGTTTTCAAAAAAAATCGTTTAGAAGTGCTTTACACAAACAATCAAAATAAAATCAATGATATAGAGAGAAATAATGACACGTTTGGTTTATACAAGTTCACCTTAGAAAAGGCTACTGTTGTCTACCCGCCAAGGTGATTTCACCTTAGAAAAGGACTTAATCCACTAATCTTGAAAGATTACAGATAAAAGGGCTATCCGCCAATAACTAACAACAATGCAATGATAACCTGTTAGTGATCCCTTAAGAATTCTGACCTACTTGGTCCCCTAAGAGGTATAACGATCACTAACTCTCTAAGGCCTCTGACCTACCCGGTCCCTTGAAGGAGATTTCTCTAAATCTTCTTGAGTATTCTGACTAACACCTTAGTTACTCAAGGAATAATCAACTTACAGTTTAATAATTCTATTTACAAGTTTGCTTCTTACAAGCGGATTACACAAATGTTTAAGTACAGATTGTTTAACACAAATATGAGCAACAACTCTTGTGTTCAAACAAATTACAATAATAACGTGATAATGAGAAACAACTCTTGTGTTCTAGAAAATAATAATATCAACACAATAATGATCAATAACTCTAATGTTATAATTTTCAAATGAAACAGTTGATCATTGTGATCGGTGGATCTGGAACTGACTGTTTTAAAGCTGGTTCGCGAAATGTCGCGGAAGCAAGAGTCGCCACCGTCTTTTATTTTCTCCAATAGGAAAGGACAAAAGCACAGAAAAATTCCTTTAAAGAGATTGTTCTCGGTTCGGGAGGTAGGTTATAGAAAGGGAAGGTATTAGCACCCTTTCTATCCATGGTTATCCATGGGCTCTTAGGTACTTGCTCAATGTGTTTTCAAAATGTGTGCTTGCTTTTCAATGTGGGTTTCAAAAATATTCTTTGAAAAGTTTCAGTTTAACTCATGCGTCAGAGTGTTTTGAAAAGTTTGTTTTGAAAGTTTTTTTGAAAGTGTGTCGGTGTGAAAAGAGTTTGAATTTTGTTTTGAAGAGAGCAAGTACCTACGAGAACCTACCTACCCTAAGGAATTCGTCTGTGTAAATGTCCTTTAAAGTAGTGCCATCCCACCATTGGGAGGTAGGTAGCACCACCGTTGGAGGTATTCGGGTCAATTCGAGTTTTAGGGACGTGGTGATCACCGGAGCAATGGGAAGACACCTTAGAAGCTACCCTCATGCCAGGTTCCCGGACCATGAGGACTTACTAAGACGTTTTCTACTCGACGACCACCTTTCGAAAGGCAACAGTGAGGCGTACCCTAAGGGTGGTGTGTGCGAATTGTGTGTCATTTTCAGTTCATTGTTTGTCTTGTCATGCATTGGTGATCTAACGATTCAATTTTATTTTCGGGCATTCATTCTTTCATGCATATTTATTAACAGTTATATTTGCGAGAAAATAAATCTAACTATTACAACTGGCGCGGGTCCACATCGCCAAAAAAACCGAACCCGATTTGACTGAAAATAAAATAAAGCGAATAAATAAAAAGTCCGAGAGTTTTTAATTACATGGCTTTGGGGCATATACAGAGGTATTTAATAAATGCGCGAAATAAAGACTAAACAAAATTAGGGCATTGGACCCTTTTACAAATAATTAAATAATTAAAATTAATCAAGGAAATTAAAAATTAAATGAAAAAATAATGTTTTTGTGTTTTTTAGGTTTGAAAGAAAAAAAGAGAAAAGTTAATTAAAATTAAAGTCCTAGTTCTATCATTTTTTAAGTTTATTATGAAAAAAGATTTAATTCCTAACCTAATTAAATTCTAAACTAATTTATGTACAATTTTTGATTTATAAAAAAATAAATAATAAATAATAATATTGTGAGAAAAAAAAGAAAATTAAAAAAAAGATGTAAAAAATTAATAATCAACCTAATTCTATATTTTTTTGGATTTTTATTATGAAAAAAGAATTAAAATGAATATTAAAACCTAATTAAACTAAATGAATTACATTTTAAATTTATTAAAAAAAAGGAATCAAAATTAATCATATTTTTTTTTGTCTTTTCTGTCTTTTTAATGTTTTTTATATTTTTTTGTAAAAATTAATTAAATAAGAAAAATAAAACACAAGTAAATTAAAAATAAAATGGAATATAAAGGAAATTAGAAAAGAAAGAAAAAAAAGATAGAACCAGGGGGTGTGGATTTCAAATTTGGGGGTGCAAGCCTGGCCCATTTGCTGGCAATTGGTGGACTTTTCCACTCCTGTACACGCTTGTTGACTTGGTATATGGTGCACTCCTCATCTTAGCCATGGATCTGAGGCCCTGGGACACGTGGATGAACTGATGCTGAAGTGCATGGTGAACCCTTGTATGAGCGCTGCATGGAACCTTAACATGAAAAATAATATGAGAAAGTGCAAGACCTGGGACTTGAACCCAGGTCATTGTGGTTAACACGCTTATAGATTGCCAGCTGAGCTATTACATTCAATTGATATATAATAGTTAACAAATAATAAAAAGAACAATCAATGCATAGTGGTCAAACGCGCGCGCGAATTCAAATGGTCCAGTCTCCGTGTGACACGCCATCATCTCTTTCATTCTTTCTGAAACATGAGGACAAAGGCAACGTTTTTTTGGTCGTGGTTTTAGAGGGCCTAATGGAAAATAGCGAATAGCCCCTCGTCGCTCATAAATTGAGCGCGAGGGTGCCATCTTCCTCGTCTGGATGAGCTGAGCATGATGATGGTACTGGCATGGTTCAATTTTTCCCCTAGTGAGAACCCCCAATTTGAAGCAACCTGTAACCCTAAAAAATGCACATGGTAGATTCTTGTATACAGCAAAATAATGAAATTAAACGTTGTGGTTAGCTTAGAAATAGCAATATGAACATGAATCAACAAAGAAAAACGCAAATGGATGATGGAATCATGCTGTACGATTTCAAAAGTTTCAAGGTTCAGTTTTGATTCTAACTACCAGTTCTTGGGGTTTTAGTGGATGTTAATGATTGGCACGCGTTCAGAATGATCTCAGAATGCTAATGGTATCAAAATTTTGGCTTGAAAGGATCCCTAGCTATGATTTCAGATTTGCACTTTATGGCCAAATTTTCAAATGTCCAAATGCCTTTTCAGCGTGCTTTGTGCTATGTTCTAGGTAGGGTTGGACTCAGTGATCCTTATGCAATTGAATAGGCATGCTAACTCTCCTTAATCCATGCTTGAGAAAGAATTGGCATTAGGGTTTGTCCATTAACCATTTTTTCCTAATTTCTAGCCAAAACCTAGACTTAGTATGAAAATGAACCTTGGCCTGATTTTTGAGTTGATTCATGATGTATAGAACTTGTCCAAATTCATTTGACACCATTACATTGACTTTTAAATTTTATTTGAATTTTTAATGAATTAAAATGAATTAAATCATCAAAAATTAAATAAAATGAAAAAGTCAACATTTGGTCTTGAAATCAACCATGGGCCACGTGTGTGGCATGACAAGGATGGACAAAGTGAGAAAAATGGGGCCCTTTTGTCAAAATTGGATTTTCAAAGATAATTGACTTTTGCCATTTCACAAAATTTTCCCAACTTCTACAAGGCATAACTTGCTCAATTTTTAAGATTTT